ACTTATTCAATTAAATCGACGACGATGCACGACGGGCCGAATGTGTCCGCGATATATGACGATCGAGCGGTGGCCTACATCGGCGTAGCTCGATTAATTGCATTCTAATAAACGAATAGATTACGCGGCGATATTTATGACGACAGGCGGCTCGCGTGACCGGTGGAATTGTTAATTGAACGTCCGCGGAATAATCGAATATCGTTGTTTACGACGTGCTGGCGAGAAGCTAGCCAGGAATTGGAAGATTGTGAGAAAGACAGAGGACAATGCTATTTTCGTCGAATCGGATTTATAATTGCTGTTAATAAATTACGAGAAGTGCAAATATTTGGAAGAAAATATTTTTCAATCGGTGCGGTGAATATTGAAACTTTACTCAGTGTTTTTCTTTTTTTTTTTCGATTCGATGGTACAACTGAAAAAGGGGTAGTTTCGCTAAGCGAAAAAATAAATCGATAGTAAAGAACAAAGTTTTTTCATTTCAGGTTTTCGAGAAAATCGAGCTTGAATATCTATCAAATGTACTTGAATTTAACTAATGCTAGACTGAAATAGAATGCGATCATTCTACGTACAGAAACAAGTTAAAAAATTTTTTTCTACAATATTTTTGTATAATGTTTTCAAGAAAATCGAGTTTTAAAAGTTATTGCCAAGAACAATTCCTTATATCAAAACTTGGTAAATTTCTAAACTCGATTTCCTTAAAACCGAAGCTTTAAATGAAAAAGATTTTTTACATTTATTTTTTATCGTGGTTGTATCGTCGAATCGGAAGCACCCTGTATACATTTATATCTTAGGAAACAAAAATAAAATTTAAAATCACGATTGTATTCTACGGACATGTTGCAATTGCAGACCGTGTGTTTTCCTCAATTCATTTTGACGATACAAAGTGCAAACTTTTTACGATCTCGTTTCGTTCTTCAGTTTGTTCAGTTCAAATCGTAATCACTCGTAAGTTGGTTAACTGAAATGTTGACTCGAAAATTCGTTCGTCCACACGACTAACTGGCAAATACAGTAAATTCCAATTCATTGTAGCGTCGAGTAACACGCTGGTAATTCTTAATCCCATAACCACGTATGACGAAATATTTCGTTATGCGAAGAAAACTGCTTTTATACATGTATCATCGTCACGACATAGTTTATCTCAATGATGCATATTATGGGTTATATACTAGTCAGTGCGAAGCACGACGAATATCGTCATCTTGTTTGGAAATAATTATTCGATGCAGATATATTTTGTAATAATTATTATTCTAATCAATCGTGCAAATATATTTAACGAAAAATGAGAAAGTAATTACTCGATGCAAATGTGTTTCGTGACAATTATTTTATTACAATAATCACTCGATAAATATATGTTCACGCGAAAAGATTAAATATCGTTGGAAGAAGCCATTGATTCTTTATATTTGAGCGTCAATGAAGACATTTTTATCGACGCGGAACGAGGAACGAACTTTGGAACTTGTTGACAAGTTGAGAAAAGTAGCTGAACTTATCGGAAGTCTCGAGTATTAGCCACCTTAACGACAATTCTTATATCTCCTACCGTGTGGTTGAAAGATCCAACACCGGACGGAGATCCTTATTACAGGAAACATCTTCAGAGTCAGCCACCGTCAGTCATTAAGTATGCAAGTCGCGGCCACAGACACGCCTCCGCCTTCAGGAGAGCGTCCGTGCGACGTCGAAAACTTCTAATCTCTCAGCTAGGACACACCTCTCCTCGATCGTTTATTTCTTCACGTTCTCGCTTCTATCCTCGAAGTAATTATACGCCATTGATCGTTATCGAGCGCCTCCAATCGCCCGCATTTTTCATCCGATTCCGTTTCATTCCGTTCTCTCCGCTCTCTGGATATCCCACGTTGCGATGATTTCTATATCTATAACTGTCTATATTACTTCTGTTACTTATGTATTATATGTATATATATATTTCGCTCGAGCCCGAGCGAGGTGCATTCTCGTCGATTTGATTTTTTCTCGCGAGTAATCGCGTAGTTTCCTGCAATTGTGCGTTAATGCTCACACGGTGGTTACATTTTTACATCGAATCGACTCGACAGTCGACTTACCAGCGTGTAATACTAATCTCGGCCAGCGCGCCGTTTCGTTTACGTATTCGCAGTTAATTAGACTTCGACCTGTAGCCAGAAGCAACGAACGCCGCAGTTCAGTCAGTCTCGAGCCTTCTCGAACGTCAGAACGAAATAATATCATTCTGCCACGAAGCAAAAGTTATCGATCGCTACTTATCGTACGTTCGTCGTTAAATCTTCTTTTAAAAAAGCATCGCGCGATTACACAACTGATTAATACTAACGAATCGAAATACTCCCCGGACAATGTGAGAATTACGAATGGAAAACGCGTTTTTTTTTTTTTCTCAATTCGCTGCATGCAAATGAGCAACGTCTGATTCGTCGGTCGTCGAGTTCGACTGAATTACGCGAAATGCGGCGACAATCGTTATCTGGATAAGCTGGTAAGGAAGGAACTGCTGCAAGCGCGGTAACTCTATTTTGCAATGTAAATTCGTGGCTAACTCGTGTTCGATAAAAGTGTGCCGCGAGAAAAGTGAATTGAAATCTAGCGATTTGGAATCCAGCGAGTCCAGCCACGTCAGCGGAGACCGATCTTTAAAAGTCCTTCCCCGATCGAGGCAGCAATTATTAGGAAGGTAATTAACACATCAAAACGATGTTGAAATTCTCGCGTAGCCGTATCGAAGCGAGTTAGAAAGAGACTGAAAATTGCACAGGAATCGACGCATTATCCAGAGAGAATTCTCTCGTGCGCAATAATTAAACTCACCGGGAACGCCGTTGACCTCGAAAATCTCTGAATTATGGAAAAATTATTCTGATTAGACACCGTCCCGCGTTTAACCCTTTTGCTTTACCATACTGAATCATACTCTCAATATGGGAATAGATCGTATTTGTATTTAACGCTTTTACTTTATAAGTCGGACGACCGGCTATGAAATAAAAGTCATATTTTTACGAAAGTCATACAGGTGAAATTGTTAATTTAATACACTTTTCGATAATAAGAAAAAAATCATGCATTTTTATTTCTTCTTTTTTTTTTTAACAGGAGTTAAAACAAAGAATTTTAAATCGAATTTTCGTTTACCGATTTTATTACAAACTTGTAAATTACCGACTAATGAACACTGTAACAAACTCTTGAAACAAACATAATTCAAAAGCTTAATAATAATTTAAAATAATTTAAGAGCACTCCTTTGTCGAGTCACACTCAACATTTTTAAATCGCCATTTGAATTGCCAAAAAAAAATAATAATAATAATAATAATAACAATAATTCAGAGTGCAAAGGGTTAAACTGGAAACTAGAATTTTTAAAACATTTCATCTCACACGGAGAGACCAATGAAAAAACTGTCGATTCCCCGAAAACGGTGATCGAAAACTTCAAAGCTTTCTCGGCAGAACGATTTGAACGATTCTGCAAGGTCTCGATCGTCGACGATAATTGAGATCGGATCCGGCAGTGACCCGCGTTTCGCCAGTCCAAATACGGGCGATCGAGCACGGTCGTCAAATCGAAATCGATGTTTTCGGAAGTGGAAGGTGTGGGCAATGTAGCGCAAGTATATCATAACCAGGTGGGAGGGACGCGCGGCTCGGTGGGTTCGACTTGACGCGCGATCCGGTCGGGCATCAGTGACTGTTTCTCTGCCGGCAGCATCCGATCGCGTCCCTTCGAGGCCCCGGCTCTTCAGACTCGACCTCGTGGCCGTGCGCGTGCTCGCGATCGATCGTCGGACGCGCGACATGCGTGACCTACCGACCTGTTCCGCGCGTCGAGTGTTGATCAGTGATTGCCCGGCGATTTTCGAACCGCGAAAACTCGTGAACCCAAGGAACATTTCAGGGACATTTTGTCCTACTGTGGTGACGTGTGTGTGAACGAAGCAGCATGCCTAACTACAAAGTTACTTTTCGGGGAGCAAGAGTCTCCGGATCGAGAGAAGTAGGACAGTTTTGATCGGTGGCTAATTGGTAAGAGGAATTGATTATTTTTCTACCGATTGTGTTTGCTTGTAAATTTCGGGACAGCGTGATCGTGGATAAAAGAGGCAGGAGAGATTGGTTGAGAGCTAAGGATGTGCGTACCTGGTGTCTCGCGGATACTAGCAGCAGGTGTAAACACGATAGGGATAAAATTGAATGAAGTATCGAACGTCGTGGCTCATGCTATTAATATTATTCATTTATGTGCATGCACTCGGAGACCAGAGAAGCCGATACATATTTATAACTTGGACAAAGATGAAGCACGCATAAATATTCCACGACGCGAATAACACTGAACAGCTCGGCTGTTATAATGGAATCATCTGTTTGATATCAGAGTTCGACTCGATCGTACCGTGGATTCTACCTTTCTCCAACCCTGTTACCCAGTACTCCCCTTTCGGGATGAACCGGGTGAAAGTAAAACCGAAATGCGTCCTCGGAGCCGGAGGGTAGAAAGACGTATGTGGAAGGGATGGTTCTCGAGTCAGAGGGAGATGACAACTGCGGCACGCTCGCAACGGCAAGTAGCTAGCAGGCACTCGAAATCGGCCTGGAACGAGAGAGAGAGAGAGAGAGAGAGAGTGGGAGAGACCGGTCCGTGAACACTTGTACGCGACATCCTGCGGAGGACTCGTGGAGAGCTTCCATGTCGCGGCACGTTCGAGACCACGCGCTGTGTGGTCCTCTTAAGGAGGATACCTGCGCGGGGCTCACGGTACCGGATCAACACTCACCCGAGCGAGGAAAGGGATAGGAAAGAAGGGAAGAAGGAAGACGTGTGATGGTGGGGAGAAGGTGGCAGCGTGACCCCAAAGTCATCCCGGCCACGGACAGACTCGCCTCCGAAGGTGATTTACGTTTCGCCAATGGCGCCTTTTGTCTAGCCAACCGGCTGTCAGACATGTTTGATTTTCGCAATATATTATAACCGTGTTCGACGAATTATACTGCGCTCGTTTCGGTCGCGGCCGTAATTCAACGGCGACGAGGTGACGCGCCAAGCGGCCGATTCTGCGAACTTCAGCCACGACCGGAAACGACGTGTCTGCGCCATCGAACAACCGTTCACACGACCACGTGGACCAATCCACGGGCATCGTGCTTGCCTTGTTCGATTTTCGACTGACGAACTATGTACATACGTGATCTGCGTGTGTCTGTCGTTCGGGGGAGACGGGGGATGGCTAGATGATGTTTCTTGGGTGGAATTCAAATGCGATTGGGAGGGTTGACGTGTGTGAGAAACGGAGAAATGGTCGATTTTCACGATGTGTTTCATTCAGAAAAGAGGTTTCCCTTTGGAATGCGCAGACTTTGACTTGGTTTATTTCGTTTGTTTCGTAATAACGTAGATGTCCTGTTGCTACAATGCTTCTCCGCTGACTAAACACGACAGAATCGTGGACACTTGGTATAAAATAACATTCGGCCGCGATCGAGGACTTCCAACTAAATTCATATGATAATATTGTTTCCTCAGGAAACATTGTCGTCGTCAAAGTCAGGATACACTGAACCACAGAGTCAGAACCCTGAACTTCTCGGCACCAGACGTAGCATAAATATTCGGAAATTCACAAATCAGTCTCTCATTCGACGTAAAAATTAAAAGATATTTTCACTGTGAGGTGAAAATATCGTAACTGCAATTTGTAATTCTGAATATAGTAGACACTTAATTTTCTTTCTCAATTTTACTGTAGACATTATTATGTATTATATAATTTCATAATTGGTAATCAATTGATATCGTAAATGATCTAATATTATTAGCATTATTTATATTACAATATTATATAGTAATATTATAATTATATAACTGTGTAATATAATGTAATATAATGTAACCAATATAATATCAATATATATCAATAATTATTAGATATTATCAACTTACTTTAATAGCAGTATCAAACGTTATTACGTAATTTAAATAGAAATTTCAACGCAGACAGCTTGATATCCACGTCGTCAGCAGGTAATCTCACAGTCATCAAATCGCGAATTCCCCCTTCTGCAGTCTCACGGTGGAAGGCGTCGTATAATTAAAACGCGATCGTCGCGGTTTAGCGTCTTCTCACGCGCCTGTCGCCTCCGCTTTCGTTTCTCCGTGAGAATACTCCTCTTGGATCTTCTTGCGGAACGGCTGGATAATTAACGTAGCACGCGAATGGCCGAATTAATTTCATCCGCGAGTATCAGACTCCGTGCTTTTCGAACAATGCTCGGTGAACGTACGTGCTCGGTAAACACAGGAAATACAGATAGCGTGTAAGCGCGCGTTCCTTGGAACGTGATTGAACGCGTGTTCGGGAGTGCTTGTCACGTAAAGTGGTCCCGTCACGAGCGTTATCTTATCAGGGGTGGGGATGGCAGAAGAGACTGGCTCATTGTACGACATGTTTCTTGAAATCCCTTCTTCGGCGCGTCATTTCCAGTCGCCCGGAGGAAATTTGAAGAGGTAGAAAGTTGAAGTTACAGCTTCCTTTTCACGAAGGAACGTGACTTTGGAGTTTCGTTAATTCTTCTCAGAGGTGGGAATCTCTCGAATGAAATTTCTAGCTCATTTATCGACGTCAAGTACTTGAAAATTCTTTCCAAATGGTCTTCAATCATCGTCGATCCATTTCATTTATTAAAGGATTAAATACGCGTGGATCGAACGTGCGTGCGTGCGAGAGGAAATCACGTGGAGTCTTTGACCAAAAATTAGCAATCGATGGATGAATGAATTCTAACGATTCTCGCCTGGACTCGCGGCGAGACAAACGAGATGCAAAGAAGTCACGAGCGTACTCGGTTTTCGAGAGTGAAGCTTACGTCGGTGAGTCCACCGACGAAACGAAAACTGATCTCGTACAAGGCATCCTTTAATTGGTCACGTTCGATCCGCTTATCAGCGGGTACGCAGGATCCGAGTATCCCTTACAAAGTGTTCCCGTGGGAACGATCGTTAATTGTCCATAAAATGCGCTCTCACCTGGCACTGTGCTAAAAGCAGAACCGTGTTCGCCGCGGGAGAATTACGTATCCGCGAGAGGACAACGATCATTCGAGAGAGAGAGAAAGAGAGAAAAAAACTCTCTCCCACAATTTTCCGAGGGTGAATCGTTCGTTAGCGATCACACCTCCACGGTGAAGGAAAGCTTCGAAGGCTACTGTATATTTATCTTAAATAACGATCATTCGCGACAGGGACGTCTGGAACTAGTAAGCCAAGCAAATTAATTCCTACGACCTTCTCGATTTATCTATTCGACCCTAGAGAGTTCGAGTTATTTGAAAAAAAAGAGCCTTTCTCAGCCTAAAAAAGTTCGTCGCTGTTTAGGATTATCAACTGTTCCCATCGGCACGAGGAAGACGAAAAGGAGGGGGAAAAAAAAGAAACAAGTTTATATAGGAACCGGATGGTAAATGCAGGAAAAGTAGGTAGTAAAAAAAAAAAAAAAAAAAA